GAATTCCCACAGCCTTTCCAGGCATCTGATTACAGCATTTTACTCTCCCTACTGTTTCTCCTGCTGTTTTATAGGAATCTTCCTTCCTGGAAGCTGGGATGACACGAGCACTGTCTGCCAGTTCTGTTGTCTGTGTTATAAATGGGATTGGCAGGAAAAATCCAGGCCCTAAAGCAAACAAATTGCTCTGGATCTCCTGCTACACCCCACTGTCAGAATGTTTTTCTGGGAATATTAATGGATTTGGGAATAGCTAAATAAAACAGGCACCTGCTTGTCTCAGCTACACATGGAATAATCTTCCCACGTACAGAATCAGACCATTCACTGGGAAAACTGAGGGAGTTTTCCAGAGTGAATTGTCAGAGAATTCCTTTTATTTTCTGGTGGTCTATAAAAGAGGATTTCAGTGGAAAGTCTTCCTCTAACTTCCCAAAGACGTGTTTCATACAATCCCACAAGGGTTTGGGTTGGAAGGGAACTTAAAGATCATCCCATTCCAGATCCCTCATGATGGACAGGGACACCTTCCACTAGCCCAGGTTGCTCCAAGCCCTGTCCAGCTCAGCCTTGGACACTTCCAGGGATCCAGGGGCGGCCACAGCTTCTCTAAGAAATTCATTCCAGGACCTCACCACTCTCCCAGGGAAGAGTTTATTCCTAAAATCTAACCTAAACCCACTCTGTCAGTTTGAAGCCATTCTCCCTTGTCCTGTCCCTCCAGGCCCTTGTCCAAAGTCCTTCTCCAGCTCTCCCAGGGCTCCCTTTGGAATTTTAGGCCAGTTCCACATCTCCTCTCTGGGAAAGCCTTCAAGTGAACATTAAAAGATGATTAATCCTCATTTGCTGTCGATGGATTAATCTGATTAAAACATACCTGTAGGATTTAGGGTGGGAATCAACCATCTTGGAGCGGGGATCTCACACCACATGGAATTTCTTGGAGACCCCTGGGGTCAGCAGATACAACACAGGAGCAAGTTCAGGCAGCCTGTGCCCCTCTGGAACAGAAGATGGAAATTTGGGGGGATACCCTCAAGCACAGCAGGTGTCCATGTTTAAATACTGGACCATGCCAGAGGTGGCTGGACTGGGGGGATTATCACACATTCCCAATTAATGTGATTAACTTTCAGCCAAATAACCTAACAAGAGGCATCCCACATATCTATCTGAGATCAATTTTAATGATGCAGAACTGCAAATGTACAGATTCTTTTATCATGTTCCTGCTTTTTTAGTGCCCAGGGGGGGACACCGAGCACACAGGACCTGGAATTTCATGGATCTGTCAGTGCTGGTGTCTTCTGGACTAAAAATTCTGTGAGGGGATCATATGAGACAAGCAGAAAACACTTCTGAGTGTCTGCACTGCCCAATCTCAACCTCTCCTCAACTGCACCTCAACATGGAAAAGTTGTGTTTAATTGGATTCAGGAGGACTGGCTGGAGGAGGTTCAGATGGGATCCATCCCAGCTAATTATGTTCTCTCTGCCTTTTTGGTGAGCTGAAAAGGTCAGTTAAATATCAAAGCAGATTGTTCTCAGGGCCCTTCCCTCTGTCATTTCCAGTTTTAATTCCTCCACTTGAACACGAGTTGGAATATCCCTACAAATACAGAGAACATTGGGACACCAAGGGAATCCCAAAATGGGTATAAAATGTCCACCAAATGTGTATAATAAGTAGATAATTAAAAAAGGAGGTGTTTAGGAAAATAAGAGGTTTGTTATCCCCATTTTGCAGGTGAGAGAGATAAGATTAAATCAAGTCAACTCCATAATTTTTCAGAGTTGCAGGAGAGTTTATAGGACAGTGAGATCCATCAGGGCCTCTCAAGGCTTTGGAATATGTGGCACAACTGCATTTTCCTCCTCCACGTGGTGGAATTTTGCTTCTTTCCTGAATTTCAAGGTTTCCAACACGCAGCTGATTTCAACTACACTGAGGGTTTTAAGTCTGACCAGATCCTGTTGCAAAAAATAAAAGGGCTTGGCTGAGGATTGTGGTTTTAATCATCATTATGTCCCTGCCTCTCTCATCTTTCCTCACCAGCTCTAATCTGTGCTGCTGCATCTGCAGATAAGAGTCAGCAGAATCAGTGGTTTGAAGGATCATCTGAGAGGGGAATTCTTTCCTTTGAAAAGCCTGGAAAGTGGTCCCCTGTGTGTGTCATTAAGCTGGAGGCAAAAGCAGATGCAAGGCTTAGATTATCTCTTGGTGACAGCCTAAATAAAACCCAGGAATTGTCAGGGCAGGGAGGGGACAGGCAACGAGTGAATTCTGAATGAGGAATGACAGGGGGAAAAAAGGGAGATTTTCCCCGTGGAGGAGAGTTGTGGAATTTCACTGCTTTGCATAGGAAAGGAGTGTGAGGGTGACATCCTCAAACAAGGGGGATGGCACTGCAAAGAGAAAAAAAAAAAAAAATCTGTATTGTGTTCACACTCTTCCTAAATATTGTCCTCAATGCTGGACTGATACTTTATTTCAGTGCTTGGAATATGGGAAGAAATGTTGCCTCTAGAGTGTTTTTTCAGAAGTTCACAGAATCTATATTTCTCTGAAGCCTCCCTTCCAACCTCTGATCAGCTAAAACCTATTCATTGTAGAATCATGGAATGGTTGGGGTTGGAAGGGACCTTAAAGCTCATCCAGTGCCACCCCCTGTATGGGCAGGGACACCTTCCACTAGCCCAGCTTGGAATTCTGGAATGGTTTGGGTTGGAAGGGACCTTAGAGATCATCTGTTTCCAACCTTTGCCATGGGCAGGGACACCTTCCACTAGCCCAGGTTGCTCCAACCTGGCCTTGGACACTTCCAGGGATCCAGGGCCAGCCACAGCTTGTCTGGGCAACCTGTGCCAGGGCCTCCCCACCCTCCCAGACAACAATTCCTTCTTAATATTCTTTCTAAACCAGCCCTCCAGCAGTTTAACACTATTCCCCCTTTTCCTATCACTTCAACCCTTATCCAAAATCTCTCTCCAGCCTTCTCTCAAGCCCCATTTTTTTTATTTTTAAATGGGAATAAACCCAATTTCTGTCAATGTGTCTCAGCAGTCAGTCACCAGGACAAACTGAAGAGTAAAACCAACCCGTAAAACAACCAACATTCCTGAAGATATTTGTCACCTGCTCTATTTTCAACCTGAGGAAACATCCCTGACAGAATATATCTGACCTCTCCATAGGATAACCCAGCCTGGAGTTGCTGGTTCATTAAGTTGGTAATTATTCAGTGTGTGTGATTTCTAGGAACAGGCATCGTGGATAAGCCCTGTTTGTTTTGGCTCCGTCTCCATGGGGATAAACAGAAGGAGAGTGATTAATTTCCATTCTGTTGCCATGGTTATTAATAATAATGAGGTGATTATTACTGCACTGTAAACCTTACAGCAATTCCAAGGCTGCCACAAAAAAAAAAAAAAAAGAAAAAAAAAAGGAGTGAGGGAGAAAAGACAACAATGAAAAAGAGCTGGATCTGCTCCTCAGCCCGGGCAAATCAGCACTCACACGTTGCCTCTGATGAGAGGCAGTGAAATAAAAGATGTGTTTTTGGAGAGGCAGGACCTGCAGACAGAGCAATATTAATAAAACAAGTGATAGATGAGAAGCCCTCACTGACTTCAGCACGTTCGTGCCCGCCGGGGTTTGGTCGGGACGGGGATTTGCCAGCACGAAGGTCCCACCTGGTTCCCGGAGCCAATGGAAAACTTCCCTGATGTGCTCAGTGTTTTCTGGATCGGGCTGGATCTCATTAGTTCCACCAGAAAAAAGCCGGGGCTGGTGCGTGTGTGTGTGTGGGGGGGGGGGGGGGGGTGATGAGTAGAGGAGAATAAAAATGTAATTAAAAAAACAAGCACCGGCTCTTCCCCCTGGGCGAGTAACGAGCAACTCCCACATTCCTGGTACCTGCTCAGCTGGCTCTGTGTCCTTGCTCCAAGTGATTTGTATTCCCCCCGGAGACATTGCCATGGTGTTGGAACAATAAGTAACACTCAGTTAATCAGATTGTCCCCGCGAGTGAGATCGCTGTTTGTCGGGGATTCTGCGCTCCAAGCCGGGATGTTTTGCAGACTTTCCCTCTTTCTGAGCCCCGGGGTAGGTGCAGAAAGCTCCCAATTGGCAAATCCCAGCCACTGGGCAGAGCTGTTGTTGTTACGTTATTTCACACAAGGGCTTGGAATGGCAGAAACAGGATGAGAAAGTGCTTGTTTGCATTCTTCTCCCCAAAAGCCACAAGTTGTGCTCTCAGGCTGTTGGTTTTCCACAGTTTCCTTTTCCAAACCGAGGGGAAGTTATTTTGCATATTTGTTTCTTCCTTCCCGCGTGTGTCTCGTTCCTCCCCCTCCACCTCAGCATCTGTAGGGTGCAAAACAAAAATCAAAAACCACAGCCCAGCTGCTTCCCAGATTTCCCTGTCTGCTGAGGGGCCTTCAAAGGACAGAGGGCAGCAGGTCGGGTGAAGCACTGGCTGTCAAACGCTCCCGGAGAGCCAAGGTAACAAAAAATAAAATTCTCTGCTTTGTAGGAGTTTAAAGGCAAAATGGGGCTGGGGAGTGTTTTGTTTTTCAAACAGGGCTCTGAGTGTTCACCTCCTGATGATGTGGTGGCTCAGAGCCTGCAGAGAGGAGCATCAGCTCCTCCTGAGGACACCTGGAACAACAGGGATGAGCCATTTTCCCTCTGGAGACAAAGTTCAGTGTGGGCACTTTGTACGAGCCAAGGGTGCAAGAGCAACACGAGCTGCTGGGGCTCAGTGTCCTGGGCCACAGAGCCACAGAGCCCTGGGACAGTTTGAGTTGGGAGGGATCTTAAAGATCATCTCATCCCACCCCTCCTGCCATGGGCAGGGACACCTTCCACCAGCCCAGGTTGCTCCAACCTGGCCTTGGACACTTCCAGGGATCCAGGGGCAGCCACAGCTTCTCTGGGCATCCTGTGCCAGGGCCTCCCCACCCTCACAGCCAGGAATTCCTTCCCTATATCCCATCTCACCCTGCTCTCTGGCATTGGGAAGCCATTCCCTGTGTCCTGTCCCTCCATCCCTTGTCCCAAGTCCCTCTCCAGCTCTCCTGAAGCCCCTTTAAGCACTGGAAGGAGCTCTAAGGTCTTCCCAAACCCTCTTCTTCCCCAGGCTGAACAATCCAAATTCAGCCTTTCCTCAGAGCAGAGGGGGCCACATCCTTCTAACCATTTTTTGTGGCTTCCACTGGATTTGCTCCAACATTTCTACATCCTTCCTGTGCTGGAGACTCCAGGGAACACAAGGCTGGTTCTCTAATCACCAGAGCAAAGCTGGCAGGGGATGCCCCTCAGTGGGGGTGGCTGCAAGAGGGGGACACATCTCCCATCAACACCTGCTGCTTGTGTGTGGGGCCAGGCAGGGATTCTTGGGAAGCCCCGAGGCCCACAGGACCCTCTCAGCTTCCACCTTCCCACTCCTTTGCACCCTTTCCTATATCCAGAGGGTGGGGATGGGGTAGGGACAGCGGCAGAATCAACAATTATCTGTATTTAACAATAAAACAAGAGGGTTGCCTCCGGTGACAGCCCATCAGTGCTGCTGTTGATGGCACAAGACCCTTAAAATAGGTTTTTTGGAGGTGTCCAACAGGTACAGACCCCTGTGTAACCCCTGTGTAACCCCTCACTCACCCTCTGTTTCCCTGTGGAACTGCTGTGGTGGTGCCCAGGCACAGCTCTGATCCCTGGCAGCCTGGGAAGGTGATGGATCCTATTCCAGAGGCACAACAACAGTTGTGCATCACCTTTGGCATCAAAGCACGGTGTTGGAAACTCCCCAGCAAGTATAATCCATAATCATGGAATGGTTTGGATTGGAAGGGACCTCAAAGACCATCTAGTTCCATAAAAATCTTGATTAAAGGCTGGCAGATTAAAGGAAGGATGGTTAAAAATTAAGATTCTTAAAGGGGACTCATCACTTGTCAGGATGCGCCTTTAACTTAAAAAGTCCAAAAAATAAACCATAGAATCATAGGCTTTGGTGGGAAGGGACCTGATGGATCATCTCATTCCACTGGGGACACCTTCCACCAGACCAGGCTGGTCAGGGACAGTAGGAGAGATTAATTTTTAAATCATAAAACAACCCCCCTGTGCTGGAATCTTCAGGAAGTGCAAATAAAACATATGGATATTTGGTAGTGGTGTGGAATTCCTGCCTGCTCACGAGTGCATCCCACTGCTCACCACACACTTACACTCTCTGCCCGCTGGAATTACACCCCCCCTTTTGTCGGGAGCACGTGGGAACGGGAGAAACTCGCCGCGTGTTTCCTTTGAAAGGGAAAAGAAAAGGGGAAAAAAATTCCCAGCCGAAGTTCCAGAGCGATTCCAAGCGACGAAGCACGATCCTTCCTCTGGCTGGGCTGGGGGAGGGAAAGGGGATGGGGAGAGAAAGAAAAGGAGGAGGGGGGGAGAGGACGAGTTCGTGGTTAGATGGGAGCTCCCACCCATTTCCTTTCCTTGCCCTTCCCAGGCATGTCAGAGCCGGGAGCCAAGACAAATCCAAGCCTCGGGAGCTCAGACAGACAGCACCACTTACCGAGAGCTGATCCAGCCTCTGGAGCGGCGGGAGGGACGGGAGGAGTGCGGGGGAAAAAAAAAAAATTAGGAAGGGGGCAGTGCCCTCTGCTGCCAAAGGAACGGTGTCGGTGTGGAGGATCCGGAGGAGGGAAGGGAGGGGTGGGACCTCCGGGAGCTTGAAAATAAACAGTCAGAGCACACGGAGAGGGGAGGGGAGCTGAGTGAAGTTCATCTGATGTCAGCAGGGGTCATCTGAGGTGAGCAGGATTCATCTGAGGGGAACAGGATTCATTTGAGGTGAGCAGGAGTCATCTGAGGTGAGCAGGAGTCATCTGAGGTCAGTAGAATGCATCTGAGATCAGCAGGGGTCATCTGAGGTGAGAAGGGGTCATCTGAGGTCAGTAGGTTCATCTGAGGTCAGCAGGGGTCATCTGAGGTGAGTAGGATTCAATTGAGATGAGCAAGGGTCATCTGAGGTCAGTAGAATTCATCTGAGGTGAATAGGGGTTATCTGAGGTCAGCAGGATTCATCTGAGGTCAGCAGGTTGATCTGAGGTCAGCAGGATTCATCTGAGGTCAGCAAGACTCATCTGAGGTCAGCAGGATTCATCTGAGGTGAGTAAGGGTCATCTGAGGTCAGCAGGTTCACCCAAGGTCAGCAGGATTCATCTGAGGTGAGCAGGTTTCATCTGAGGAGAGCGGGTTCACCTGAGCTCAGCAGGATTCATCTGAAGTTCATCTGAGGTGAGCAGGTTCATCTGAGCTCAGTAGAATTCATCTGAGGTGAGCAGGGGTCATCTGAGGGAAGCAGGATTAATCTAAGGTCAGCAGGATTTATCTGAGGTGAACAGGTTTATCTGAGGTGAGCAGGATTCATCTGAGCTCAGCAGGACTCATCTGAGGTGAGAAGGGGTCATCTGAGGTCAGCAGGGGTCATCTGAGGTGAGCAGGACTTATCTGAGGTAAGCAGGTTTGTCTGAGGTCAGCAGGATTCATCCGAGGTGAGCAGGACTCATCTGAGGAGAGCGGGTTCACCTGAGCTCAGCAGGTTCACCTGAGGGTTCTCCCCAGCTCGGGTTCCCAGCAGTGACCTGGATCTGACGCCCTCACGTAGGCATTTGGTGAGTCTGGATGAGCTGAGCTCCTTGGAGAAGTGGGAAGGCGCTGCCATTGCCAAGGAAAACTGAGCTCTTTACTCATGGATGTCATCAGAACCATGGGAGAGGACGGGCCAGAGAAGAGGATCCTCAGGTTCTGGTGTCCCTTGCGTGGCATCTCCACTGCAGGTCGTGCAAGGAGGAAAGGACTCCAACATTTAAAAAGCTGGAAAGGATTCCACCATTTAACAAAGAGCTCCTGGGATGAGATCAGGGCAGGGAGAGATCATCCACCTGTCACTGTCAGGGCTGGAAAAGACCCAACCTGGGGAAATGAATTTAATTTATTACCAATGAAATGAAAGCAGGATAATGAGAAAATAAAAATAAGTCTTGAAAACACTTTCCTTCCACTTCTTCCTTCTTCCCAGGCTCAAGTTCATTCCCAATCTCTCTCCCTGCTCTCCCTGAGCAGTGCAGGGGGATGGGGAATGGGGGCTGTGGTTCATCACATCTTGTCTCTGCTGCTCCTTCCTCCTCACACTCTTCCCCTGCTCCAGCGTGGGGGGGTCTCCCACAGGGAACAGCTTTCCATGAACTTCTCCAACATGGGGCCTTCCCATGGGCTGAAGTTCTTTAGGAACTGCTCCAACATGAGGCCTTCCCATGGGCTGCAGTTCTTCAGGAATTCTCCAACGTGGGGCCTTCCCATGGGCTGAAGTTCTTCAGGAACTGTTCCAGCATGGATCCCTTTCCATAGGGCCAGTCCTTCAGGAACAGATTTCTCCAGCATGGATCCCTTTCCACGGGGTCAGTCCTTCAGGAACAGATTTCTCCAGCATGGATCCCTTTCCATAGGGTCAGTTCTTCAGGAACAGATTTCTCCAGAGTGGATCCCTTTCCATGGGGTCAGTCCTTCAGGAATAAGCTGCTCCAGCATGGATCCCTCTCCATGGTGTAAGAACAGCCTTGACCAGAGCAATGGCCACGGGATAACTCGGTTGGGAATTCCAACAAGTGGTCCTGGCAAAACAGAGATTTGGAAAACAACAAGGAAGGGCACAGGACACAATATCATCACAGATCCCTCCATAAAACTCCTTGGAGAGGCTGGAAAAGCTGTTGGCACATCCCCCCTGTTGAAGAGACAATAGCAGCAAGGGCTTGGCATGATCTTCCCAGAAAAAACATGGAAAAACCAGACATAAGAGCAGAAGTTCTGGCAGCACCGTGTTTTCCCTCGGCTGCCAAGAGCTGGCAGTGATTGGAAAAAATATTAAATATATATATATATATATATATTCAAAGGAGGGGAAAATGCTGGGGGTTTTTTTCCCTTGCTTCAAAAAGGAGCAAAGAACATCCTGTTGCAGCTTCTCCTGGAGCTGGGATGAGGGAAAGCAGGGA